GCATGTTTCTACACATTTTTTGGACTGCCCTAGACTATGGGAGTGGTTTGTGGTTAAAACCTCCATTAAAACCTTGACAGATGTGTCTCTTGCAAATAAACCTGCTGTGTACTTTATACCATGATACTCTGTTATCATTTAAACATTATAAGAACTCCCCTCTCAAACACCTTTTGAACTCAGCAAAGGCCTGCTTATCTCTCATTTGGAAAAAAAGAACCACACAGTATAGAACAATGGTAAGTCAGAATAACTCATTTACAACAAATAGAAAAACTCACCACTGAATTAAAAGAACAATCTGAAAAGCACTTTTAAATTTGGACACCTTGGTTCTTCTATAAGGACTCTCTACTCTAAGGTCACACTTTTTATTTCTTTCTCTCATTTATTATGTTGGTCTTGTTTTTATAAATAAGTTGCATTTTTTGTGGCTTTCAATACTAAAATGAGGGTCTGATTAATAGAAGAGTGGATGTTAAAGGTACTGGTGTTTGTGTCTAACCTATATTAACCACTTGATCTCCTGAGGATTTACCCCCCTTAATGACCAGGCTACTCGGCGCTGCACTAATTCAACTGATAATTGCGCGGTCATGCAATGCTGCACCCAAACGAAATTTACGTCCTTTTTTTCACACAAATAGAGCTTTCTTTTGGTGGTATTTGATCATCTGTGTGCTTTTTATTTTTCATGCTATAAACATAAAAATGCCAAAAATTTTGAAGAAAAACAATATTTTTTACTTTCAGCTATAAAAAATATATAGTAAACTCAAAGTTGGTTATAAATTTAGGCCAAAATGTATTCTGCTACATGTGTTTGGTAAAAAAAAATCCCAATGAGTGTATATTGATTGCTTTGTGTGGACGTTATAGCGTTTACAAACTATGGTATAAATACTGCAACTTACGCCATTTTTCTGCTATACAGCGCTGCGCTAGTTTAACGGACAATTGCGCGGTCATGCAATATGGTACATAAATGAAATTTACATCCTTTTTTTCCCCACAAATTGAGCTTTCTTTTGGTGGTATTTGATCACCTGTGCGGTTTTTTATTTTTTGCGCTATAAAAAAAAAGCTGACAATTTTGAGGAAAAAAAACAATATTTTGGACTTTTTGCTATAAAACGTGTCCAGTAAAAAAAAAATGCAAAAATCAAATTTAGTCATAAATTTCTGCCAAAATGCAGACATGTCTTTGCTAAAAAAAAAAACCCAATACGTGTAAATTAATTGGTTTACATGAAAGTTATAGCATTTACAAATGGCGGGAAAGATACTGGGATTTTTAGGTTTTTTTTATACTAATAATGGCGGCGATCAGCGAATTATGGCGGCGATCAGGGACTTATGGCAGCGACCAGCGACTTATGGTGAGACCTGCGGGACTGTGGCGGACATTCTGACATTGGGGGGTACTGACTTGGGGTCACTGACATCCCCAAAAACACTAATACAGTGATCAGTGCAAAAAAAAAAAAAAACTGACGCTGTACTAATGGCAATGGGGAGGAAGGGGTTAACTTTATTTTGCAGGGAAGGGTTATAGGAGTGAGGGGAGTGTTTTACTAGGGGGGCGGGGGGTGTGTACTGGGTGGGACAAGGCTGATTGAGAAAGAGAAACTCTTCTTTCTCGATCAGCTTATCCTCGAGCTGACAGGGAAGTGACAGACAGCACAGCTACTGCAGCTGTGCTGTCTGTCACTGTTTGCCGCCAATCGCCGGAACATAGCCACTAACGAGCGGCTGTGACCCGGCGACTGACATCTGCGGCGGTGATCCGCAGGACAGATAGGGCGGCGGCGCGCCTCGCGCGCACCCCCTATTTGTTTACAAAACACACGTCTTAAAACGTGGTTTTGCCTGTGAGTGCCGCCCTGCCGCCGTATATGTACAGTGGCTGGGCGGCATGTGGTTAAAGTGAAAAGAGTCTAATTTTTTAAATTTCCCTGCACATGACTGGATGTATCAAGTGAAAGTTTGCATCTTTTCAGCTCACTTCATATATTCCTTAGTTCGTCCCATTTTAGTTTACTCATTTGGATACTGGGGATTCTGACATTCTAAAAAAAAATTATCCTAACTTCTGACAGATCTCTTATTTTAGTTTTGTGAGATTACTGGCAAGATTGCTGGTTTTTAAATTGCTCTGTTTTGTGAGGTATCCCTAGCAGAATTCACCACTCTCTGCAATGGCAGTTAAAGAGCTAAATGGCAGTGTCACGCTCCCCAAAACAATTTCCTTATATTTCTCAAAGATCCCAACAGCAAGGTAACTCCATTAAATGTCTCAGTACCATGCAATTGCTGTAGTGATTTCCGAATAATATCTTCCTTGATACCTTCTCCACAATAAAAAGATAAATAATTGTGTCAGGAAACTAGTGCAGCTAATGCTAATTCTTCTAATGCTAATTCCCATGAAGCTAATGCTCGTTCACATGTACCAGCACACAGACAAGCCCAGGTTAATATCCAGTGTGCACTGACATGCAGGTGCATTTCTATGCGCATCGGCGTGCACATCTTCCCACATTAATACCAAGCTGCCTATTTAAAGGAGACTGCTGTGTACTAATCTCTGGATATTCTTCAGCTTCCTGTGACCCGTGTTCCTGTGTTCCTGCTTGTACTGACTGATTTTCCGTTGCTGACCTGGCTTGCTCCTGACCTTGCTCTATGGATTCCGGATTCTGACCTCGGTTTGCCTTAGTCTACTCTCTGCCTGATCTCCTGGTGCTGACTTTGGCTTGCTACTGGACTTAGCTCTGCTTGCTAACCTAGTACTGACCCCAGCCTGCCTCCTGACTACGCTGATGTCTCACTGTGTATGACCCTGGCTCACCTTGACTACATCCCTGACTGTGGCAATCACCTGCTATCAAGCTATCGGCCTCTGTGCTTCATTGAGCCTTGTACATCTGTCACCACATTCAGACCAGAGCCACAAGGGAAGCCCTCTCATCAACTCGGCCTTCAGCCAAGGTACGTGAGAGTTAGGCTACCAAGACTAAAACCTTCATCGTGGCTTTGTAGGACAGGGTGGGAAAGTTCTTCACTGGCATCTTAGAAAGTTAAAAGAGGCCAGAAGGTGGTCCAGTCCATTAGTGCTCACAACAAAGTGGTGTTGGTCTGAAATTGTATCCAAAGTATTTGCAAAATGCTAATACTTTCTGAATGAAAGATTATTTACTCCAGTCTACAGTGCTCTTGGGGCCTGTAGCAGCTCCATTGTTAAAAGCATATGTTAAGGCAAACATTAAAAAAAAAACATATTTAGTTTATCTCTGGAATACCTGCAAATTTCCCCATGGTTTATCCATTTAAACATTCTGAAAGTACAGAAAAATAAAATGTGTCAGAAATATAGTGTGCTCCTACCTTCCTCTTTGGCATGACATCACAGCTTTGAAATCCTAAATGTGATGTCACCCCTGCCTATTTCATTTCTGATGGATTAACGAGAACACAGACCTCTCCTTGTCTCCTTCCCCCTCTTCACCTCCATGTGCCCAGATAAAGGGTACAGGATGTTATCAGCTCATAAGATTTCTGGCATAATCAACAGTAATTTTTTGCACCTACAGAACTGATAAGACAAAACACTTTCAATGGTATTTTTAGCAGACCAAAAAAAGCAAATAAGAGAAGTTCATTGTTAGAGATTACATATACTTTAAGATGTTCTAAGGTTTTATAAAACCTGTGCAAGCAAAAGCCAACAGACAGTATGTTTAATGACATTGTTTTTATTGCCTTTATCTGTAAAGGGTTTGACACACGTATTTGTGGTTCGGCAGAGCTGTAACTAGATGGACAATGCTTTAGAAAGGAACAGTGAACACTTTCATGCTGTGCATTCATTGGCTGAGGTTTAAGTGTAATAAAACAAGACTTGTTTCTCCCTGAGAAAGCTGACAGTGCCCATGTGTTCCCACCCTCAACAGAAGCATGTATATCTGAATTTCCTAACATTACTGGAAGGAGAGAGGGCTTTCCTGCTTAACAAGTGCCCTTGTTTGAGGTTTTCGATATAGACAGCATGAAACAGAATTCAGACTGAGCTTCATATTTAAATGCCTCCTCTTCTTCTTCCCCAAAAGTTTTATGGTTTTCTTATTGATATTCTTGCTATTGCTGGCACATTTTTCTTGTCACAAGCTGTGCCCGCAATAGCAAGACTACCCCTAGAGGTCCTTCCCACAGACAGAGTCTGATTACTATACATATTGCTGACACAATATTATAAAACTCTACTATTGCCCCACATGGGTTGTGATGGGCCAAAGTTTGGCAGAATAGTACTAGAATCATACAGTATTATTCTGCCTGTCTTGGGCCCATCACAACCCATGTGGGGCAATAGAATAGGTTTAAATTATAGTGACAAACAGTTTTTGAAAGACAATTCTAGACGGGGAGCCCTCTTTTAACTACATGAACTCATTGGAGCCAGCAAAATGGCTGAGTGTCCTTGTCTAAAAACTTGCAGTCCATGTTGTTTCCTAACCATGCCGTCTCAAATCATTCCTGCCTTTAACCTTCTAACCTGACTGCATATGGCTGGATCAGAGAGTTTAGTTACTTGCAAATAATTGCCTGTAGTAATTCCACTGGATAGGCTGTAGGTTCAACATGTACACATTTCCCTTTACAGATACAGCAAGGCTTAGCGGAGACACTGGACAAGCCTTCTGAGTGCCTGAGTTACTCCATAATAAATAACACCAGCAGCAAAGGAGCACTTGGGTAAATGTGATGTGAGTTGTAAACATTCTTATCCATTGACCATCTGGAAGCACCTAAACTCTTGCAAAGAAAAAGACCTCAATAAATAAATAATCTAGGACGCAAACAAGTAAAGCAGGGATTTTTCCAGTCATCTCTCCCACCAATAAACGCACAATGGTTTCAAGATTAAAAAGAAACAAGTCCCTTTATTTTGCCAGTAAAGTTCGGTGTCTTGTCCTTAATGCCTTTTTTAGTTCCCAACTTCAAAGTTTCCTCTCTTGTACCACTGCATGTCCTTCACTCTTCGGATAGACTGAATCTGGGGCTGGTTGGCTCCCCAGTTGTTCCAGTGCTTGTATGGTCCATACTCCATCAGGGTATTGGTATCCTCTGTATCCAGGATATTGATATCCAACCCATCTGGAAGAAGAAATTCAACACGTCTACCATTAGTCTAATATACATTTTGGTAACATTTCAAATGTGTTAAATCTGTGTATTTTATTGAAAGTTTGTAGCTACTAAGAATATACTTGTAATATTATATCTGCCTGCAAAAGTATGGATTTCCCTTACTTTTCTAATTCCCTTGCAAGGCTCAGCAGCACTAATATCCAATGACCCTTTTAGTGAACCTCCATCCAAATATGAAATCTGCTGTACAACAGACATGGTACTCGCTCCTATCTTCACAGCACTGCCTGTCACCCGATACTGGTGGAGCCTCTGAAAAATCCTATGTATCATTTGCTGCAGTTGACTAAACTACCTTTTCTCTGAGTGACATCATGGTTAGGCAAAACAGAAAAAGCCAATGGGCAAGGTAAGTTGCATTGGGTAAGTTTGAAATACATTTCCCACAGACAGATTCCCAGATCACTAGGGATAAAGACTGGTGCAACCCCTGAAAACTGTAAATATCATATATTGTTTTTTTTTATCATGTAGAATTCTTACTGTATATGATAACATATTGCAGACAGAAATAGTTTGATTCAAATTCATTACAATTCTTTTCACATTATGTTATGAAATAAGTAGTTTGTGAGTTTTAGTGCTATCCATTCACATAACCACAATAAGCAATCTTCCCTGTAGATGCATTAAAGAGTGTAGTAGCAACAGAAATACACTAATTAATAATAAATGTTTATTGTCCTCCTGCAATTCAGCAGATTCTCAACATTGCAGCATCAGCTTCTCATATAAAGCAACATTTTTCTTATTTCAATAAGTGCCTGACTTGCACATCGGACAGCAACTATTTGTACAGCCAAAACTTTTTTTTTTTTTTAGATAGAAAAGAAAAAGGGTTACAACCCATGCTGGTTTATTTTTTCAATGGTCTGTTTTGGACAGTTTGGTCTTGTTGTGGATATTTACTTTCCCTTCCCGTCTCGGGGATGCAACAGGAAATGTAACAGCAGAAATCTATATAAAGTGAAGGGAATCATCTCTTCTACATTTGTCACCTGAACAGGTGTCCCAGTCAGAAGGTTTCCTCTCACCTCTGGTGACAGCTGAAATTTTGGGTTTCCCATCACTTACTATTTTGGCTACTGTGGTCACCAGGACAATAGGGGAACAAGAAGGAAAATTGACCTCAAAAGGACACAGACAGCATGCAAAAAAAAAAAAAAAAATTGTGGGGGTCCTAATTTTTTCACACTATATCCAAAACTAAAAAAAAAATTAAAGGTTTGGCTATACATACACTTTAATAAACAAATTTAAAATGAATGGCTGAGTAAAGTTTGCTTTTGTAGACATTAAAATGTTGTTAAAACTCAAGACCCTGCATTCCCTATATCTGGTCTCCCACAGTACACAGAACAGGGAAATGAATTATTTTAGTAAATATAAACTGCTAAATACCTTTTCCATCTCATCAGCAGTTAGAGTAGTCTTGTGACTTTCAGCAGAGCACTGGTTAAAGCTTGTAGGAGTTTTCTTTCTGCTCTAGGAGGATGCTGGACCCCTGACCCTCTGAACAGTGCTGATTAGCCCTGTGCTGATCACATGCACTCTCCCAAGAAAAGAAAAACCTCTCTAGCAATACACACTAAACCGAGCAAGTGCAAGGTTTGGTCTGTCTTAGCAGGTGGACATTTGAAGAAGAGGAGGGGCAGAGAAAACAGGATTGAACAACCTTTTTACACAATGCAGAGGATTAACCCCTTAGGTTCCACAGTGAGTATAACAAGCATGCTTTGCTGCATATACAGACTGATTTTACTGTTGTGGGTTTAGTAACACTTTAGTAAATAATAATTTAAACTATGCGTAGTTCATGTAATTTTATGATCATTGCATTTGTGCTGTTTTTCTTTGTGTATTTGATTGTTATTTGTGTACTTTTGCTTTAAATAATTTAGTCCCGCCTCACTTCAGCTCACTTCACACTTTAGTGAACTAGATCCTACCTGTTTCTGGGTTTCCATGGCTTTAACAGTCACATGTATGTGAAAAAAATGAAACAAATAAGCCCCTTTGTGTTGATTTAGAACAGGGGTCTCCAAACTTGCTAAACAATGGGCAAGTATACTGTTCTGCAGACTGTGAGGGGTTGGGCTGAGGCCAGTGGGAATAGAAAATGACCTGGTGTCAGTAGGAGTCAGTAAGAGTAAACAATGCCCCATCATTGGTGTCAATGGTTGGAATAGTGCCCCATTGTTGGTGTCATTAGGAAGATTTTTTTTCTCATCATTGGTGTCAATGGGAGGGCATATGCCCAATTGTTGGTGTCAGTGGGAGGACTATTGTCCCATCGTTGGTGTCAGGGGGAAGAATTGTACCCCTTTACTGGTGTCATTGGGAGGAATTGTGCCTCATCATTGGTGTCAGTGGGAAGAATTGTGCCCCATAGTTGGTGTCATTAGGAGGAATTGTGCCCCTTCATTAGTATCAGTGGTATATGCCAATTGTTGGTGTCAGTGTGAGGACTATTGCCCCATCGTTGGTGTCAGTGGTAAGAATTGTGCCCCATTGTTGGTGTCAATGGGAGGATACATGCCCAATTGTTGGTGTCAGTGGATGGAATAGGTCTCCAAGGGCCAGATAAAATCAAATAGATGGCCGCATCCAGCCCCTGGCCACAGTTTGGGGACCACTGATTTAGATGATTAACAAAAATTGCACACTAACCACACTTAACATTAAACACACAAAACTAAATTAAATTTGTAACAACAATCTTATTCTACCATTACATGATATCGAAGTAATTAGGTAGAAGTACTTCTTTTGAGTTGTGTCACTTGAGAAAACCCTGTAGCAACTAGAATAGTACATGTCAGAAAAATACAGCAATGTACTGTACATATTAAAAAAATACTTTGCTGTTCCAAATTGAGTACTTACGTTCCTCCAAGAACCTGAACACTAGCAACTCTATCCTGGAATCCATAGGACCATAAGCTGGGAATATCTTCATCACAGACCTCCATCTTCCTGCCCTCGAAGTTGGTACATTCATACAAGGAGATTTTGTAATCCTGAGTGTCCTGTAATTAGATGCACCATCAAACCACATTGGCTAAACTCTAACCTGATATGTAGAAACAATGGAAAGTTTGTGCTTTACAAAATATAATTTTAATCCTTTAGCTTCGTGGAATGTCAATGTGTCTTTGCTGATTGAACAGTAACTACTCTGAATACTCTCACTGTCTGAATGAAGGCAAAAATCAAATGATTCCCTACCATATGCTTTAATTCACATGTACTAACTTAATTTCAAGCTCCTTATAACTAATATTTGATGTTGCTCTGTTCAAACATTTTCTTGCCACTGAGAACACTGAGAATAAAATTTTATTGCATGTGGTAAAATGGGTCACTGTTGTACCTGAAAACAAAGGCACAACACCATAAAGCACTCCTAGATGTCAGTAAAATTATATAAAGGATCAGTTTTATAAAAAAAAGAGTAATAATATTGACCAAAAAAAGTAAAGTTTCCTTGTAAAGCGTAGGAATATCTCAAACCATTTTTTTTCTTTTGGATAGAAGGGTGGAAGGGTGGAAACTGCTGTCAGCTTATATTTGCTGTCTCTGTCCCACTGGGGAGACAACCTTTACCTTTATGTTGAAACCGCTGTCAGTTTGTATTTTGCTGTATTTTTCCCAGTGGGGAGATTAACCATTACTTTCCCCTTCTGGAGATGCCACAGGAAGTGAGAGTGAAATTCCCCTCTTAGTTATTTGTCACCAGAACAGGTTTCGCCATCGGAACACAAAATGCAATAAAAACTGGACAGTGGTTCTGATTTTCTCCCATCCTATCCAAAACTATACAAATAAAAGGTTTGGCTATACATTCACTTGGACTATAAGCTGCTAGATGTAAATGTGTGTGAAATGTGGTCTGGCCCTTACCATACGGACTGGTCTCAGGGACATGATCCTGTCAGCACGGAAGCAGTTGGACCAGGCGTCCCAGCGAGGATATTCTCCTTTCTCCAGAATGAACATCTCACCAGTAAAGTCTTTCTGCTCAAAGGCGACCCAACTGTGAAATCAAACCATCTTACATCAGAATCAACTGTACTGTTTTTTTTTTCCAATGATGAAACATGTTACATCAATTAATATGAACACCAGAAGACTATTAATGTGTATGTTCACTTAAAGTTGATATTTCAGGTTTTTGTTTTGCCTTTTGTAGAGCATACTTTGGCAACTTATATATTTTTCTGGAACACCAGTGCCAAATTTACTTATTACAATTTTAAGCAAATGAGTTCCATTCCTACTGAGGTCTCCATAATGTAAGACCAAAGGATAATCCAGAAAGACACACTCTTAAAAGCATAGAGAATGTTGGGAATTCAAAAGCAAAGCTGCTGGAGTCACTGAGAGATATTATGAGCCAGTGGGTGTTTCAATCCATCAATATCAACCTTGAAAGCAAATCCTGGTGCTGGGTAGTTTTACACTTCAAACATCCAGGGTCAGCATTTTGCTAGGCTTTCAATGTGACTAACAAAATAAGTTTTATCATGTCACAGGGTGAAACAAATGTACCTTTCTGGTCTGGATTACTGTGAAGCTCACTGTCAGCCATCAATCTGGAGCAGCAGAAGTGAGTGCTGGAAAGTTCGACTGAAAATCTTTAATAGCCAAAACTATTTATTATTACAATGTAGATGGTATTATAGTAATTCCAAAGTAGATTGGCTTTTTCCTATCCAGCAACAAAATCTGAATTGCAACAGCTTAGGCCACTCATAGAGATGGTCAAGTATAACAGATAAGGATATCTGAGCTGAAGCTAATTGCTGATATCATTTGTAAAACAACTGGAGTGATCATTAGAGCCACATGCAAAAACAGATGTAGTTCTCTCATGATCACAAAAACAGATGTAGTTCTCTCATGATCACAAAAAAACAGATGTAGTTCTCTCATGATCACATCTTCTATTCTAGGTTTACTATATCTATATGGATATATTTCTCACCTTTCAAAGCCTGGAGTCTCATACACAAGCAGAAAGAGAGAAGATCTATATATATATATTAAGACGTACATGCATGTGCAGATTACCTGCAAGGGAAAATTGTTTGAGATATACTCTCTCAATATTCTGCTTATATATATATCTCACATTTCTGGTGGGTATTATCATTTGGTTCACAAAAAAAGTTGAAAAGGTTTTATTTGAAAATTGCAGAGAATAAATTAGCAGTCTATTACATATACGATTTTTTGAGGCTCACTTACGGGCCACATTCCACTCGAATGGACTTAACGTGGTCAAATCCCCGGTCACACAAGTTCCTGCATTCAGAGCTGAATTCTACCTTTCGACCTTGGAAATTTTCATACTCATAGCAAATCAACTGCAAGATAGATAAACCTGATCAGTACAGAGGCATGGTGTTTCAAAAATCTTACATGAATATCATTTATTCATTCTACTCCTTCTGTAGCTTTAAGAGAGTGCATAGTACTTTCCATGGTATTATCTAACCCAGAGGTCTATATCTATCCAAAGGCATACATAAACAAACATCTAGATGTCAGGTAGCATAAAACATAATAATAATTTTTTTTGGGGGGGGGGGGGGGGTCAGTTACTGAAAGGTCCGCTGGGCTAATGAACTGTAAGCAGCCAATTTAAGTTAAAAGCAACCTATCAGGGTGTCCGTTATATATCTCACCCAAGGCAACTGCAGGACCTTAAAGGCTGTCGACTTCCTAACGCTGTACTAGTTTTCAGACAGAGCAGATCTATGCAGCATCATTCCCAAAGATCTGCCTGCTCTCTGGATCACCCACAAACTAATTTAGGCATGAGCTTGTTGGATGTCCTAAAGGCCCAAAACAAACTTCATGTTCTTGCAGTAAACCAGATAAACCAGTATCTAGTTAAAGCTGTGCCCAGCCTGTCACTTTACAAAGGTGGATGCACATGTAGGCTGTTGGTGACTTATGCCAGATAATACAAATGGGGAGGCTTCTGTTTCTTTTATAGTCCTTATCAAAGTCAATCGAAAAGATAGGGGTGGGAGACAAAACACCTACCTTGGCTAGGGGCCCAACTTGCCTTCCTCGGTCTCTGGAACAAGCACTGCTTACAGGAGCTGGGTACTGCCAGCTAAAGCATTATGTTGAAAGCTATGACAGGTCACAAGCGTCCTGATATTGTTTTTTAAATATGAATGTCATTTTACTTTGAATGACTGAAGGATGCTCACGTTAGCTAACACTGGGAACCATTATGAGTCTATGGGATCGATTTATTATTATACAGGATAACATTTGCTTAATATTTATTTGTGAACACACTTTTTGCAGTCTCATAAAAAAACAACAAATGTAGCCAGTGGCTCAGAGACAATCTTGCCATTAAAATATATGGATTTATTTACTAGTGGGCAGCAGAGTGGCTAAATGGATAGCACTTCCACCTGGCAGTACTAGGGTTGTTGGTTCAAATCCCAGCCATAGCACCACCTGCCTGGAGTTTGCATGCTCTCCCTGTGCCTGCGTGTGTTTCCTCCAGGTACTCCAGTTTCCTCATACAATCCAAACACATGCTGGTAGGTTAATTGGATCCTGCCTAAATTGGCCCTAGTATGTGTATGTATGAATGTAACTTAGGGACCTTAGATTGTACACTCCCTGAGGGTTAGGGACTGATGTGAATGTACAATATATATGTAAAGCACTGCATAAATTGACAGCGCTATATAAGTACCTGAAATAAATAAAGGCAAACAGGCTGTTCACATTGCAAGGGAATTTGCCCCAGAGCTTACGAACAAGGTGAAATTCTGCTGATTTCCATCATCCTTTCACGTACAAACAAAAATGTTGATTTTTTTCTATTTTCCATTTATATGATTAAGTATTCTTTACCAAGTAAAACTCCACCACATTCACTAAGCTCTGGTCAAACTCCCTTGCAAAGTGCAACTTCCCCTGCAAAGTGATCAGCCTTTTTGCCTTTATTAAATCAATATCTATATTTTAATGGCAAGCCAATCTCTGAGCCACTGGCTACATTTTATGTTTTTTACGAGACTGCAAAAAGTGCATTCACAAATAAATATTAACCATATGTTATATACAAGAAATAGATCAACAGGCAAAGATTCTGTTTGGCCTTATGTATTTTTGATATCCTCAGATATAAATTATCAGGATTATAATGACATAGATCATTTTAGCAGTATTTACCTTGTAGTTCTGCAATCCCAGAGCAGAGTGGCTGCCAATGCTTCCTTGTGCTCCACTGTGAGACATCTTGGCAAATCCTCAAGCAGTCTGCAAAAATGTATTGTCATTGTAACTAAAGCTATCTTTGCATTATATAGCATTCCCTAAATGCTAAAGCAATGAGAGTTAGAGAAACCCCCCTGTCAGGCACCAATTACATTTAAACTAGTAACTTATCCCCAAAGTGGTCTAAAAAATAGAGCAATCACACAGCTTAAGGCAATACAGTTGTAACTGTAAATTAGTTATTGGGGCTTCCATTGGTGACCTCAGAATATTAGCTGCCTAGTTTCAGTGCTTTTAAAGTTATTAGCCTGGAGCAAGCATGCAGAATCATGGTGAAGACAAAACTCCTGATCTACACATTTGTTCCAAGACATTCCCTTAAAAATATTAAATAATTTGTTTGGTTTGAAAGCCAGAAAACCAGGGTCTTCAGGAGAAGTCAACTGTGATAAATCCCATATTCCTTCAGTACAGGTTCTTTTTAATAAAGAGTTCTGGATTTAAAAAAAAACCCTTGACCACCAACCATAACCCTTCAAGGCATGGATGTCACCAGACCTCTGAAGGTATGCTGTGGTATCTGTCTCCAAGCCTTCAGTATCAGATCCTTTTAAGTCTTATAAGTTGTGAGGTGGGCCTCCATGTAATGGACCTGTTTTTCCAGCACATCTCACAGTGCTCAATTGTACTGAAATCTGGAGAATTAGGAGTCAGCGCCTCAGACTTGTTGTGTTCAAACCATCCTTGAATTCAGCAGACCAGGTCACCTTCATCCATTGCTCTGTGGTCCTGTTCTGATGCTAACATGCCCACTGTAGGCACTTTTGGCTGTGGACACGGTTCGGTATGGGCACTACGGCTATGCAGCCGCATGTGCATTAAACTGCGATGGACTACATGTTCTAAAATCTTTCTATTGGAACATTACTTGTTTCAGCAATTTCAGGTACTGTAGCTCTTCTATTGGATCGGACTACACGGGACAGCCGTCACTCTCCACATGCAAGTGCATAGGTTGCTATCTTTGCTTTAGCTGGATGTTGGCATAAGCCTGTGATTCCCTTGGAATTGGTTAAGAGCAAACTCAATTGGATCATAGTTAATGATAGGTTGTCAAGCATCCTGAACAATTCACAATCCAAATTTGAAGCAACTTGGGACTTTTGGATCTGATACATCTCTCTGCCCTGACCTGATGTGTGATTTCCTTCACATTGGTCCCTCTCTATCCCCTACCTGTTTTCCTCCTTATCCTTTCTTCTTTTTAGAGTTTGTATCTACTCAGCTAAAATATTTTTATAGTTGTAAGTGATCAGAGAAATTTGTGAATGGATACAAGTGGAATATCAGTGCCTTCCATCTCGTGCATTGGCAAAGAAAAACCTATGTGCTTTGTAAAGTGTTGATGATCACTTTCATGTGTTTTCATACATGAAAAGTAGTTTGTTCAAAAAAGTATTGAAAAAGAAAGAACATCTATACTAAACCTATATACAAAGTGGTCCCCCAAAAATTAGATGTGTTGTCAAATAGGTGCATGATGCAATGTTTGTTAATGAATCTTATTTAGTGCACAAAGCAATGATAATGTGTAAAGTGTAATAGCTTCTCTATCATCTACCCACTTTGATTGGCAGTGGTCACAGAATCGGGAGCCTGTCCCACTGGCTCCTGATCAGAAGCCCTGATTAGAACCTGTAGGTGACAATTTGGTCAGTGTATTTAGAGCGTGCAGTGAGCATGCTCTCAGCACACAACCTCAGGTCACCGTGGACAAATATTTGCTGTGGCTGGGCATTAAAGCACACTTTTTTGTCAATATATACTGTGCATCTGTAATTCTTCTCCTAAACCTGTTTGAATAAAAAGTTAATGACTAAAAAAAAAGTACACTTTTCTGCTGCCACACAATCAGAAAGAGGTTAAAACAGCTTGACTGTGTTGTAGAGAGCAAAAATTCACTAGAAAGAAACCAAAGAGAAAACTTGACAATCATACTAAATAAAAGTGTAACTCACTTATAGGGAAACTATACAAAAATAATAATCATCTCAACAAAATAGCCTTTCTATGAATTTGAGGCTAGATTTACCACCATAAATTGCAAAAGTCATCTTATATAAGGTCATTTACACCTTATCACAATATTCTAAGCCAGGTTATGTACAAAAAATGAGTAAATATCCAGAGTAAAATAGATGATCCAAGTAGAGGGGGTTAGGGGGCCCAAAGTTGTGTATCTACAGACTCCAGGGACTGAATTCCAAATCTGGGATACACATAGGATGCCTAGTATGACTACTTGCTGTATAACATATTTTTTGCACATAAGCTTGGATGCTCATCCCAATCTTCTCAACACAAATATTACAAAGAAGAAGAAAATTTAAAAATGCACAATTCACAATGAAAGCCCAGGCAACTGTCTAAAAACTAAAGATTTACAAAATCCAGGAATACATAACTAATGTAACGAATGTGGCCAGTTGTTCTGTGTATATCAATAGTTAAACTTCCAACTTTCATATTTATATACTATATATATATAAAATGTGTACATATATAAATATATATATATATATATATATAGATATATATATAGTAGTATTGGTATATGCATGTATATACACACTTTAATGAAACAAATACAGATCATAAACATAAATTGACATACTTCTTTATAGATGTATATAGGAAAAAAGGGGACATGCAGAGTGTTACTCACAGTATCGCTGTGACTGAGCCACTGAAAGATGGTTGATGTTGGTGTTGAGCCAGGCCCCCTCCCCACTAATATATACGCCATGAATTTGCTTGCACCAAACTTTCTTTGTAACTTTTCAAAGGAGTGGTCTAAGTTGAATGAAAAGATACCTATGAACTCTAAGCCCATATTACGGACAAAGGCGAATGAGAAGTGAGCTGTGGTCTTTCAGCCGAAGGGGTAAACTTAGCCAATATTGTTCATTATTTTGTGCTAGCACAGGGGATCAGCAGAAAACAAAGAGTTCAATAAAAGACACAGTTTTGTGATGGTGTCATTGGGCAAAACTGCTGACTCCGCTGGCTTTGCACTGTGCAGCTTCATTACCTCGCTTGTTTCAGGAGATTTAGG